CTTTCCCTCAGCACAGAGCCCGTAGCACTGCCAGTGTTGTCCCCCCACACCTGCTTGCAGGAGAGGCTTGTTCCCCACAGCAGGAGGCTGATGGTGCATTCTTCTGAGGGGTGGGGTGTGTGTGTTGGGGGGGGGGCAGGGGGCTCGGGACCCCTCACCCCTTGTCCTTACCGGCAGTTCCCAGGCTCAGCAGCACAGCCACCCAGAGCACCCAGAAGAACACGAGGATGGTGACTGTCCACAGCGGCTGCAGCAGCAGGAACGGGGAGCAGCTGATGGCTTTGTTTGTGACCCGGAAAAGCTCGACTGTCCATTTTAGTCTCTTTCTGAGGACAAGGATCAGGATGAGCACAACTGCCTGGTGAGAAAAGGGCATTAGAATACATCCTTGCACAATAATGCAGAACGGGGCAGAGCTCTGCTTTCAGAAACAAACCGTCACAAAACAATGGGGCCTCAAAAGGTTCATGGAAAATTCCACTATCAAGGTCATGGAAGAATGGAATGAAAAGATAATGGATTTTTCTATGAACTTTTTGAAGCCCCCTCGTACTTCTTCCCATCTTGATGAACAGTTCTGTTACGATAGCCACCCACTGTTTTTATCACAACTAAGCAGATAGATTCTGGAGAATTCAAGCAAGCACTAACTCCACCGTGCCTACCATGTGCTTGTCCGCATGCCAGCCCTGCAGTAAAGCAGCGTGCATCCTTCTCACAGAGCGAGAGAGAATGAGAAGCAGCTCCTCCAGGGCCCGGACCTGCAGCCTTGGTGGCCTAATGGGTCTGAGTTGGGCTGCTAGCTGTAAGGTGAGCAGTTCGAAACCACCGGGAGAAAGGTGAGGCTTTCTCCTCTCAGCCGAAGTTCCAGCCTAGGGATTGATTTCCCAGGGGCAGTTCTACCCTGCCCTGTAGGGTTGCTCTGAGTCAGAAGGAACTTGATTGCAGTCAGGGTCAGGGCACTGTCTTGTACTCTCCTGCCCCCACTGTTTGCACAATGCTGAGGCCCTGCAAAAGGGAGCAATAGGCACTGTGGACATGAGGGGCAGGGACAGCAGTGGTGCTCCACAGCTGCTTCTGTGCCGCCTTCTCTGCTAGTTTTCCTCTCTGCACGGAAATACCTGCACGAGTCTTAAAGAAACTGGGCTTAGGCATTCCTGCCTTCAAAGCTGCGCCCGGGAAGTGGAGGCAGGGGTGACAGTCACAGGGCAGCGGGGTGAGCGGTGCCTGAGCAGGGACACAGCCGCTTGACAGGGCCAGTGAGACACTCAGAGGTGCCCCTTCAGACTCAAAGGCCCATAGCTTCCCTGCCTGCCCCAGAGGTGTTTCCGCGGCTTGTTTGTATTGCACAGGCAGGCCCCAGTCACCACCGAGACCCATTTGTCAGGCCTGCCTACATCTTTGAGTCAGACTTACAGGCACGTTGGGACAGCTGCCCATCTTGTCTCCCTTTGGTGCCCGAAAAGGCTGGGAGGCTTCACACTGATTCCAAAGCTGTGTGCGCAGCAAGGGGAGGCGGCTGGCAGGAGCCAGTTCAGCCGTTTCCAAGGTTGCAATGTTCATAATCCAGGATTGCCTGCGTTTAAGATCGTAATGAAGCCAAACTGTCTCTTCTGCAGGCAAATTAAGTTGTTTCTGGCTCCCGAGTTGAATGCTAGCAAGCGTGTGTGTCTAAATGTACATTTCTTTTACAACTTGCTTGCTCTCTCGACAAGCACACACGGCTCTTCTCTGACTCCAAGTCTCCAGCCAGGATGCTGATGAGCAGTGATGAGCTAATGTCGCGCTTTATGGACTCCAATGGGCCTGGTCCAACGCATGGGCTGAGCTCGGGGTGGCAGTGGGGTGATTCGCCACCCAGGGGCCAAGCCCTGACATTACTCTTCTGGGCTTTCGCTTCCAAGAGATGCATTTCAGGCGGAGGCTGAGGAGAGCCTATAAGGCCATTGTATCCCATTTCCGTCATTGTTGTAGTGATTCTAGTGACACCACTTAAAGAATAGCAGCAGGTGCCACCCCCAACCCGTTTTTCCAGGACAACAGTCTGGAGTGAATTGATAAGGCAGAACACCGAGCAGCTAGCTCGGCCCTGGAGGTCCAGGCAATGGACAAGGCCTGAGTCCACTAGGCGAGGCTCTCGGGGCCACGGCTGCTCCAGCCCGGGGCAGGGGGAGAAGAGGGGCACAAGAAGGATGCGGGGTAGCGGAGTGCCCCCTCGTGCCTTCCCTTGGCTCCTAGGCTGCTTCTGTTAACAGTGGCTCTCCCTCTCGCTTCTCTGGGAGAGAGGAGGACGGAGGAGGAGGCGACGGGAGGAGACTGGCAGCAGTAACTTCTTTCCCTTGGAGGCCAGTGCTGGGCATGCAGAGTGGAAGCTGACCAGGGGGCCTGACGTGCCTTTCTCTCTTTTCTTCCCTCCCCTTGCCCTGTGCACAGCTCTGAGGTGCTGCTCAGCCGCAGGGACAGGCCGGGGCTTTCCCCGGTCATGGCCTGTCCCCTTTCTCACCAGCCAGCTCAGGCTTCCCAACTCGCCTCTGCAGCCACGTGAGGCCAGCCTGCTAGACAGCACTGGGCAGCTCTTCGGGGAATACAGAGTTGTGGGGGAGGATGCCCCATGGAGGAGGGACAGAGGGATGGGGGACGGCCGTACCTCGGTGGGCAGCCTTGCAATGGTATTCCTGCTGACAATTCTGAAACAGAGGCCTAGGTCACTTCTTGACTTGGCCCCATAGAGGGAGGTGTGGGCCTGAGGCCACAAAGTTCGGGTGCATTCTCTGCACTTTGTCATCCTCTTACGATACGCGCTGCCTGTGCTTTACGTCATGCTAGGTCCACATCTAATAAACGCACTGCCTTCCGGTGGATCCTGACTCATAGCGGCCCTGTAGGACAGGGGTAGGACTGTCCCTAGGGTTTCTAAGGCTGTAGTCTTTATGGAAACAGAGGACGACATCCTTTTCCCACCAGTGGCAGGTGGATTCCAACCACAGGACCAAAAGTTCACATCCAAGTGCTTTGGCCACCATGCTACCAGGGGCTCTTCTGCATACAATACCCCAAAGCAGCACCACTGCCATCAAGCCAGTTCCCACTCATGTCAACCCGGTACGGCAGGGTAGAATGCTCCCTAGAGCTTCTGAGAGTAAATTTTAGGGGAGCAGAAAGCCTTGTCTTTTTTTTTTTACTTGTTTATTTATTTTTATCGTTTTATTAGGGGCTCATACAACTCTTATCACAATCCACACATACATCAATGTGTAAAGCACATTTGTACATTCATTGCCCTCATCATTCTCAAAACATTTGCTCTCCA